TCCTGGCTGCTCCTCTGCCCCCATAGGCCTCCCGCCCTCCCATCCCCCTTCCACCAGCTCCAACACTGGTGTTATTCAGTTTTATGAGAAACCCCCAGGCCTGCCCCTGAACGGACCAACCACAACTGGAACCAGATGTGCGGTGCTGCACATGGGGATGGAGGGAGGGAGGGAAGGAGGGAGGAGGGAAAGGGGTCTGGGCTGGCTCCGGAGGCGGAGGGGGCTGGGGGATGGGAGATGGGAAACCCTGGGAATTCTGCGTCTTCATTGGTTGAGGAGGAGGGGGAGTGGGGAGGGGAGAGAAAAGGGGCTGAGCGGGCTTCTGCACAAAGCAGTTCTCACTCTGTGTGTGTGCGTGTGTGTGTGTAAATGGTGGTGGGACAGACACTGGGTAAAGCCGGGGGTGGCTGATGGGCTGTGGGACAGCTCGTGGACACGAAGGGGAAGGCTGCTCCTCCTCTTTGAAATCCTCTCGCTCCTTGAGTTCCTGTCCGTGTGGTTGCTAGAGACTTGCTGAACTCATGGTTCTGTGCCCAGGTGCTGGGAGAGGGGGCGAAGTTGGGGTGGGGGGGTGGGGCGTTCCGCCACCAAAGCCTCCTTGAGAGCAGCTGGAGAAGGGTGTCTCTCAGAGTCCCCTGGAGCTGCCGCAGACCTGGGGTGGATGGGATGCACCCGGGACATCACGTGTTTGTCTGATTGTCCCCGTGTCTTACCTAGCGCGGTGAGTTTTTCTGTCTGTGATTACGTAGCTTTGAAGATAAAAGTCAGCCAACAATGATCTTGGCACAGCCTTGTGTGAAATTAAGCACTAAAGGTGCCCCATTATTTAATTGTTAACCAGTCACCCATCCATCCATCCATCCATCCATCCATCCATCCATCCATCCATCTCGTCGTCATTCATGTCCTCGGTCCACTTACTGAGAGTCCATTACGAGTCAAGCTTGTGCTGGGCGCTGGACAAACTAGGAGGAGGGAGGGAATAGGTAAATCTTTGCTCAGTGGGCTATGCAGAAGTGCACCCAACAAGCCTCGGCATCCGTACGTGAACAGGAGCCTTGGGTGTTCCGAGGGGACCGTGTCTACCAAGTGGTGCCACTGGAGGAGGATCTGTGAAGGGTGTGGCTTTTGAGCGGAGCCCTGAACGCTGCTGTGGAGAAGGGGGAACCTCACGATAAGCAGGCTCAGGAGGCAGTGCCATCAGAGAGGGCTCCGAATGTCCTGCTGTAGAGGTGGGATGGGGTAGGCGGTGAGGGGCCAGGGACTGTTTGATGTCAGTCAGGATGATAGTGGGTGTGGGTCAGAAAGAGGAAAAGGGGAGGAGGATTCTTCTGCTGTGCCGTGACCCCTGAAATGAAAGGGGCACCTTTCCTTTTCTTAGTGGTCTCCCCACCCACCTCTAGAGGAGCCTAGATGGCTGACGTGGAGTCCTCACCTCCCTCCCCTGACAACGGCTGGTCCAAGGCCAAGGGCAGACCCGGGTCTGCAGGGGGCACGAGGTTAGGCAGGATGAGGCTACTAGGAGCCCTCTGCCCCAGAGCTGGGGCTGGAGGGGGCTGAATGAGCCCGGGGCTGGGGAGGCAGGTTTCCCCACATGGCCCAACAGTTTTGGAGGCGTGCTCTGCGGGGCTTCTGTCCTCCACCTGCGGCCGTACCCACCTGCTCACAGGCTGAGGCTGCTGTCAGTGTCGGAGGTTCTGAGATGCTGGAGGTCGGGACTCTGGGAGCCAGGCTCCTCCCACCCTGGGAAGGAAGGTCCTCGTGCTCTGGAGGTGGGACGTGGGTAGAATGACACCTCCGTCTCCATCATCCCCACCTCAGGTCCCGAGAAGGTGCCCCTCTCCCTGCCATCCTCAGGGGTTTCTCTGTCACTGACGGGGTTGGGGAGCAACTCTCTGAGGTGCTGCCCACCTCCCCTGTGATGCTCACGGCCCCATGTTTGTCCCTTCTGGGTCTCCCCTGTCACTTTATTTCTTTGGAAAATGGAAGCCTGGGGAATGGTTTAGTTGAATTGATAAAACCGGTGAGTTAGATGTGGAAAAGATGGTGAATACCTTTGGCTCCAATCTCATCGGACAGCAGGGGACACTGAGGCCCACAGATCAGGTCACTGGCCCAGGACCTCCCACGAAGGTGGCCCGGATGGAGAAAGGAAGGCTCTTCCAATCTCTGAAGCACGGGGTGGTGAGCAGCTGGGCGTGGGAGTCAGCCTGTCAGGTCCGAGCTCCTGCTCTGGGCCCTCTGTGTTGTTTCAGACACGTCCCCAAACTGCTCCAGGGTCCCTTTCTTCAGCTAAAACAACAGGGTGATTCCGAACATCAGTGGGAAAATGTTTAAGAGCCCGGCATACAATAGGTGCGCCGCCGCCGCCGGCTCTTCCCTCCCCTGCAACATAATCTTACCTGCTCCTTCACCTCTGTCATTGGTACAGTCCTCCAAACTTTTCAGACCTTATTTCCCCAGTCTTTCAAATTGTGAAATCATTTGTACGTGTAAAAAAACTTCAGGGAACTTATGGTTAACATCCTGGGCTCTGTAAAGAACACTTGGGCATAGGCCCTCTCTCCCATTTCTGTTTATCTCTCCAACCCTCAATCCGCGTCTTATTGTTTTGATGTGTCCATTCAAAGGGAATTGAAGCATGCACTCAATGAACTAGTGTTCAATTCAAATCACTTTTGCATATACAGTTACAAATATCTGTAAAGAAAAAACAGATTCAGAAGTGAGATTCTAGGTCAACAGTCACCAAATGAGTGCTCTGCAAAAGTTGAGAGTGCTCTTCTTCCTCTTCATCATCATCATCATCATCATCACCATCATCATCATCTCAACATACTTCCTCACTCATCGGTGGTTCCAGGCAGCTGTGTTTCTTCCCTGGGTTCTTGTCCCCCTTTCCCCACCTCTGCCCTGCAGGCGCTGTGGCCCCTCCTTGAAGGTCCTCAGGGAGGCTGCTGGGCCCGTGGCGGATGGACAGGGAGTCCACAAGGCTTGGCATGCCCTGCCCCGGGGGCGCCTGTGCCCTGCCCCTGCCAGCCTGGCCAGAGCCCGGTGTGAGTGCCGCAGGGGTTAAAGGAGGCGGCAGCGGGGCGGGCTGCTGGCCGGCTCCGGGAAGAAGGCGGTGCGTGCTTGCCCGCCTGCTGCCGCCGGGGGAGGGAGCTGGGCGAGCAGCGCCCTCGTTCAGTTGCTCCCAGCAGTAGCCCTGGGGCCAGCTCTGCTCCCCGTGCCTGCTCCCCGCCTGGACACAAGGCTCACTCACGCCCTCCTCTCGGCAACCAGCTTCTTGCCAGCTACTGCAGCTGCCCCGTCACTAACCCACCACCCTGTCCTGTGAGCCCAGATACGCACCCCACCCAGGGGTTCCTCGGCCGGAAAGGTGAGTGTGGGGTCTGTGGGTGCTGCTGGGCTGTCCTTACAGATGCTGTCATAGCCACTGACCAGGGCATACATTAGGGGAGGTGGAGGTCAGCCCTCCTGGTCCTGTGTCTGTGCGCCAGGCTAACCCCTCAGGCCAACCTGTCAGTCCCCTCTTCAGACGAGTCTGGGGTTTTAGCAGCGACGACGCCTGGGGTGTGGTTGTCCATTCAGAGAGAGAGAGGGACACGAGTTCAGAGGAGTTTTGTTTGCTGGGGAAGTTGCTAGTGTCAGTGGCTGCAGACCCGGTCCAGCAGAAGTGAGTGGGGAGGACACACCTACCGGAGAAGGGAGGAGGTAGGGGGTATCCAGCCTCCAGCACTCTCCTCCCCACCTGCCTGCTCGCCCGCCCGCCCGCCCCGTGTGGGGCTGCCCTGGGGAAGGGGACCCTGAGAAGAGCAGGCAACTTTTCCTCCTCGTTCTTTCCCTGCCACCGGCTGGAGCTGTTACTGGGCCCTTTTTCCTCTTTGGGGTTCTCCTTGCTCCCCTCCCTCACTTCCCAAGGGCTGGCTGCGTCTGCAAGGGAGGGTCTGGCAGACCCGGGAAGGTTGGAGTTAAAAGCACCCCCCTCCGCCTGGGTCCCTGCTCCCCTGCCGTGGGCACAGCCTGGCATGGGTGCCCCTGGCCGCCCTCCCCCAGTCAGCTCCTCACTCCTTCCTCACCCCTCTGGGCAGGAATGGCTAATCCAGGTGGTTAATGAACAGACACACACAGCTGCCTTTCTCTCCCCTGTCCTTCCTTTCCCCCCACCCCCGACCCTCTGATGCCCTGCCCGCCACCCCTTCCCGAGCTGGAGAAGTCATACAGAGCTAATCCCAGTGTCTGTCCCCCGGCTCCCAGTTCAGGACCAGGGCCAGGACTGCCTGCCCAGATGTTCAGAGGCTGTCTGTCCCCTGTCCTAGAAGAGGAAACGGGGAGGGGAGTGACCTAGGGGTGACCAGGAGAAGCCTGCTGTGCTCCCAGGCTGTGTTCTCTGCAGGGCGTGTGATGGGGTTAGAGGGCAGGATGGGCGCTGGGTCGGGGAAGGCAGGATGGGTGGCGGTGGGATGAGGCTGGGAGGGGGAACTGGAACTAGGGTGCAGAGCTTTTGGAGGGGGGGACAGGGGCATCTTCTGGAAGCCCCAGCACCTGCTCCTTGCGGCAAAGCCAAGAGCGGGGTCAGGAGGGTGTGGAGGGAGCACGCTCTTCCCTTGAGTCTGCCAGGCCCCTTCCTGAAGCTGCCTGGGTGGGGTGGGGACCATTGTGGCTCTGACTTGGCCTTCAGTTGCCCCTATCCCTGCCAGCTGGCGGCCACTTCTGTCTCCCCCACCCTTGCTGTCCCCCGGGACCTCCGAGCTGAGCCACCCTCTGCCCAACCTCTCTGGCCGAAGGGCGTGGAAGGGAGGGCCTGGACCTGGCTCTGGTTGGAAAGCTGGGTGGGAGGGCTCGACATGGGACCAGTGCTGGGATCCCATGTGGGGTTGGCCTCGACTCCGCTGCCCTTGGAGGGTGGGGGCCTGGGCAGGGCTCAGCTAATCTGGCGGATCTGCCAGTGCTGGGGGCCAGGACTTTGATCTGGAAAGGAGAATTCTTGGGTGGCGGAGGAGGCAACTTGGGAACCTCTTGCTTCCAGATCTCTGGCCTTGAACCCTCCTGGCGCTCCTTCCCATCCCTCATCCCATACGTCTCCGTACTTCACGTCCCTCAAAGCCCCGATTCAGAATCTTCCCCGGGGGCTGCGGTGCCCAGAATGATAAAAACAGGATGCGTGTGGCCGGGCGGAGGGGAGCTGGGCTGGTGCGCCGCTGAGTTCAGAGGTAGGGCCACCATTTGGCGAGTAACTTCTCGTCGCTGACAGACGGTGAGCGAAACCTTGGCGTCCGGGGGTTCTCAGTTCCCGGTCTCTCCTGAGGTGGGAACTGGAAGCAGAGGGGCGGACGGGTTTGCGTTTGGGGAAGGAGGCTCGGCTGCATGTCAGACGGAGGGCTTTCTAACAAGCCTGGCGGGTCGGCGAGAGAACGGGTTTCCTTGTAAGGTAGTGAGCTTCCCGTCTTGGGAGGGAGTTCACGCAGGGGCTGGACAACAGCTTGGAAGGATTCCTGAGCTGGGATGTGGTTAGAGGAGATGAACTCGAAGGTCTCTTGGGATGCCGAGGTCCTGGGATTCTTGGAGTTGGGAAGTTCTCTGACACCCGGAATAGGGGAGCAGCGGGGTGGTGGCCTCTGGGCTGGGGGTGCGCACACTGGGGGACCTCGCAGGCCAGGGGCGTCCTCCTCCCCTCCAGCGTTTGGGGAACAGAGAGCCTGCTTTCTGCCCTCACACCCATTGCCCAACCACCCACCAGCTCTGCCCCAGCTGCTTCCTGCGAAGGTTCTGAGCTGCTTCCGATTCTTCTGGTCCCGCTCCATGCCTTGTCCTGCCGGTTAACTGCCCAAGACCTGGAGCAGACCTGCGGGCTGTGCGACACTGTGACATTGTGGGGAGCGGAGGGGTCAGAAGCAACACGGACCTCCACCCACTACTCCCTTCTGAAGTCAGAGCCCACGTCCCCTGCTGAGGGGCTGCCTGGGGGCCGGTGTGCCCCCAGGACGGGGAGGGAGGGCTGCTTTGAGGTTGGGCAGCTTGAGCTCCTGCCCCAGTTGGCTCACCTCCTCCCAGCTCCGGGAGCCTCCCCAGCCTGCCTGGAGATGGTAGGCAGAGGACTGGCGCCAAGATCCGAGATGCAGAAAAACCTAGGGGCAACTCTTACCTAAGCCTCAGTTTCTAAACTTGTAAATAGTGCAGGTTGTCAGGGCAGCTTGAAGTGGTTTGTGTAACTGGCAGCGGGCGGTGGGGGGGGGGCGGCGGGTGGGAGCCAAGGGTGCGTTCTCCAGGGCCTCTCAGGAGGAGTGTGGGAGGTGTGGGTCACTCCCCCCGTCCCCTGGACCGCCTGCCTCTCCAGACCTGTTTTCCAAGGTGAGCAGTTGGACGCGGGGGGCGGGGGGGTGACACCATTAAAGATTTCTGTACACCAGCCCTTTGGAGGCTTGGGTTTCCCATGATGGCAGTGTCAAGGTGGGCTTCGGGGGTGGGCTCAGAACCCACACTGGGCCTTCTGCCCCAGGCTGCCTCTCCCTCCAGCCCTCCTTTTCCCCTCAGTGGGGAGAGGGAAGGAGTAGGGCCTGAGGTCCCCCCAGTCAGCCCCTGCCTCCAACCAGGGCAGCCCCTTGCGTGGTCCTGGCTTGTGTACAGATAAAGCCCTTCCCAGTGTCTAACTGCAGTCCCTTGCCTTGAGCCAGGGAGTAGGGCCTGCTCTTCCCTGTGGTTGGACAGAAACCCAAAGAGAGGTGGCAGCGTGTTTGGGGCCGGACGGGGAAGAGGCCCAGTGTGCCCTGGAGCTCGGGGAAGCCGGGGGTGGCGCCGGGGTGGCCAGCAAAGGCTCTCAGCTGAAGGCAGTTCTGGCTTCTTGGCTTATTTTTGGGACCGTGAGTCCCTTTTACTCCAGGAGGAGAAACTGAGGCCCAGCTGAGGGTTGTGTACTGGAGAGGGCAGGGGAGTCCGCCCTCCCAGGCACGGAACTCGGAGAAAAGCGGATCAGAAATGGGTGTGGCGTCTAGGGGAGGACAGAGTGTTTTGGGGAGAGTAGGGCCCAGACTTCTGTCCCGAGTGCTGTACCTCCAAAGCGCTGGCTCTTAGCTTTCAAGGTTGGCAGGCGTGCACAGGTGCGGGCATCGCTGAGCTGGAACGAGGGTAGTGGCGGCGGCGGGGCGGCCAGGTTCGCGGGCAGTGCCCACCTCCCTCGGGGCCCCCTGCATTATGCACAGTCACACGCAGGTCCAGCTCCTTCTCCTTCCTCCGCTCACATTGCCAGAAGCACTTTCCCATCACAGAAGAGGAGGCCATGGGAGGCGCAGCTGGGTCCCTGGGTTGCCTCTACCAGTTTGGTGACTTTGGCCATCTTCCTACTTCTCTGCACCTTGGTTCCCCTTGGGGAGGGTGTCTGGTCTCCATGGAGTTGGAGCCTGTGAGGGGTGGGGGTGGTGTGCCCGAGCCAGGGCTACTCCGGGCTCTGTAATCCTTGCCTTTTTAGGTCTGGAAGCCTGTAGCTCAGGCTGGGTGTTCTGGGAGGCAGGAGCGGTCTCATTCTGGTCTGGAAGGGCAGGGTCTTGGGAGTCGATGGGGACCGAGGGGTTCCAGGAGCCCTGAATGGGATTGTATCCTTCCTTCACTATGGGGTGGTCCCAGTCCTGCATCCAGGTCCCCCTTCCTAGACCTTCTCTGGTGGAGAATGTGGGACCCCTCGGTTTTCCTGGTCCTTGCAAGCTTCCTGTGTTTAGCTGGATTACCACCTCCTTGAGGGCAGACCCGTGCCCTTTGCCTCCCTGGTGATCCTGGCTGTGCCCGGCAGAATGCCGCTCAGTGGGAACTGACTGACTAAGGAGGGGCAGAGGGGCGGAAGGGTGAGGGTTTTAGACAGGGCCTGGGGAAGGGTGATGGGCACTGGAAGCAGGGCAGTGCTCACGGAGCGATCTGGAGTGAGGCAGAAAGTGGGACTCCAGGGCCGGGCTGCTGGGCTCAGCTCAGGATGACCCGCTGTGTGGCCTTGGCAAGTGACTGAACCTCTCTGAGCTTTTGTTTTCTCAGCTGTGAAGTGGGATAATCACAGCACCTGCTTCATGGTGTGGTTGGGAGGCCCAGTGGCTTAGTTTATTTAAAACACTTTGCACAGTGCTTGGTGCAGAGTAAGTGTGCAGGGAATGTCCGTAATTGTTATTGTCAGGAGTGGTGGTGGTGGTGGTGGTGGTGGCGTCCCGCCAGGGGCCCACTGCTGGGCCACCCTGTCTCTCTCGGCATGGTCGTTCCCATCCATAAGGTAAGAGGACTGTGGGACCAGAGGGTGGAGGAGATGGTTGCATCTTGTTCCCTCAAGGGGTCCTGACATCCAGAGAAGAGACCCCTCTCTTCTCTCTCTCTCTTGCTTGCTCACTCTGTCACAGGGGGAGTCAGGGAGCTAAGGGGAAGCTCCCTGGAAGCCTTGCCTGCCCAGGGAGCTGATGCAAATTTGTGCTCATGGAGGACTCTGAAAGTTGCTGTCACTGTAAACAAGATGCGTTGTTATAACCCAGCCCAAGCTCCCCTTCTCAGATCCCACCCCATCCCTTGAAGAGAGTCGCGGGACAGGACACTCAGTAGGCCTTGGCGAGGGCCTGTTCTGGTCTCAGGGCAGACTACTCTTGACCATGGGTGGCTGTATTCACAGGTGTGACATCTGTATTTTAACATGGCATTCCCCCCCCACCCCGCACCCCCACAGCCAAAACTGCTGTAAGTACCTTCTAGGTCTCTCCAAACCATGGCTCTCGGGCTACATGAGGCCCAGGATGGCTGTGAATGCGGTCCAACACAAAATTGTAAATTTACTTAAAACATTATGAGATGTTTTTGTGATTACATGTTATCACAATGTCATGTAATCACAAAGTCACAATGGTCCAAGACAATTCTTCTTCCAGCGTGGCCCAGAGACGCCAGAATGTTGCACGCCCTGGCTCTAAAGTCTGATCTGCATCTCCTTGCTGTGACTTGAGTTCCGTCACCTTGTCGGTAGGAGGTGGGAGAGAACGATTCCTAGCCCTCCCTGCATGCTAGAAAGCTGTGAGCTCTGAACCCACGATAGGGGCCAGCCCCTGGTCCCCGGCTCTCTCTCAGGTCCTCGGCTCCCTCATTAGCAGGGGTCGGCTGCTTGTGGAGCTGTATTCTCCACCCAGGCCTGGTTCTCACCCAGGGAGGCCTGGCTTGCTCCAGGTCAGGTTGGGTGAGCTCTACCTCGGGACCCCTGGCCCGCCCAGTTGCAGCTGCAAAAGGCATTAAACTTTTTCTTGGAGAAAGAATGGGCTTGGGTTGATGATGATGACAGCTGGGAAGGGTTCCTGAGCTCAGCCCGGCCCTGTGTTGCTTCCTCTCCTCAGCCCCTGCTCACCTCTGCTCCATTTCTAGGCTATTTATTGCTTATCTAGAGGAAGGGGTTCACCTTTGACCCTTGACCTTGACCAGACCTGAGCAATCTACTGGTCTACAACAACCCTTTAATGGGAGCAGTCAGTCTGTGTGGTCAGCATTGGGCTCGATGCTGGGGTAGGGGTGGGCAGAAGGGCCGTGAGGGAAGTGTAAGAAGGATGTCTGTCCTGGGGTCCCTGCAGGCAAGTTGCGGGGGAGTGTAGTGCTCCTGCTGTCCAATCCCTGGACTGGACTCATCTGGATGAGACCCTTTTCTCACTGGGCCTCAGTGTCCTTCCTTACCTGTAAGACAAAGGGCTGGAGAGGCTCTGGGCTTGAAGTCTGTGAGTCCATCCATCTCCCTGCAGGAGCCTCCCCTGGTCACAGGCTTTGAACTTCACCTTGGATTGACCTTGCTTCCCTCCCAGCCCCGCCCCCCACCTCTGGCAGTGGCTGGCAGGAAGTCCTGCTGATTAGGGCCCTAATCACCGGCTGAGACTCTCAGAAACAGCCAAGCTGGTTGAGCAGAGAGAAACCATCAGGAAAGGCACAGGGAGAAGTCCCAAACCTGGGGGGCCCGGGGATTGGGCTGTGATTGGGGTCAGCTCCTTGTACCAGGGGCAGTGACTGCGCACCCACTTTGGATGCTGTGAGGCAGTGGCTGAATCTGGCTGGGCACATAAGGCCCCTGGTAGCTCACTTAAAAGCCTTTTTGGGCATTGATGCTATGCCAGGCAAGGTGCCAGGGGTATGGGGCTGGAAAGGCCAAGGAGATGTGGTCTAGCGGGGGAGAGAGGGGGCTAGACAGAGAGCTTCTGCAGAGTGCAGGGGGGTGTCCGGTGGAAAGCAGTGTGTATGAACTGGTGGAGGGGAGAAAGCTTCAGA